CAGGGGGCCATCGCTTCTTGGGGCTGCCTTTACAAACACACTGGGTGGGTTACCCCAGGCCAGGGAACAGCAGGCTCGAGCCCACCCATCTGAGAGACCCAGATGATCAGTGCAGGCAAGCCAGTGAACTCGATAGTTGCCTCCATGTTACTGTTGGGTTTACACGCAGATGGGGCATCAAATACCTAAGCACTGAGCTCACTTGCTAATTCCTTCTCAGCTGTAAACAGTACAGAACAGTGTTAACAACCAAGCCAGACGCGCCTGCCGTCCTACTGCCCTAACACCTGGTCACTGCCCTTCCTCGCTGTCTTGTACACCCGCCTCTGTGTACATGGATTCAGGAGCCCTGCTGGTGTTGGAGGGAGCCTGGTGACATCGTGGTGAAGGGCTGGGCTGCTAAACCACCAGTTGAATGGTTCAAAACCACCAGCCACTCCATGGGAGCAAGATGAGGCTTTCTACTCCCACAAAAAGTTACCATCTCAGAAACCCACAGGGGACTCTACCCTGACCCACAAGGTCACTCTGAAGTGGGGCCGACTTGATGACAGCGAGTTTGGTGGTGCTGTCTGACATGGGCCGGGCTCCTCTCCAGTGTTGGCAGTTCAAAACCACCAGCTGCTCGGAGGGAGAAAGTTGAGGCTCGCTGCTTCCATGAAGATTTATAGCCTTAGAAGCCCTATGGGGTCACCATGAGCTGTAATCAGCTAGAAGAAAGCCATGGGTTTGGGTTTGGGGAACAGATGGATTGACACCTTGGCTCATGCGCAGTGGAGTGTGCCAGTGGTACTGGGCCGGCACGGTGCCTTCTGCCATGCTTGGGGTGGCTGGGTCTGGACCTCCTGGGTGCCACCTCACAGGAACAGATTGTTGTAATACATTTCCTTGTTTTAGATTTTTTCCAAAGGTGTTATGTGATTATTTTAGGGGGAAAACAACAACAACAATTAAAAAAACACTCTCATTCCTCCCAAATGTCCCCACCGCTGGGGCCCGGGAAGCCAGCCGGAGGCACTGGGACCAGGTTCGGCTGTCTGGCAGGTGGGAGGAGAGGGGGTTTGCCCATCACTGGTCTCCAGGTGGCTGTGCACCCCATGTGTAACCAGGGCTTGGGGTAGAGCCGGCGGGAGGAGGGCTGATAAGCAGAACTGGGCACTTATCAAGCCGAAGCAGGCAGCCCTGGGGGTATCTGAGGGGCCAGGTACCTGCCTGTGCCCGTGCCGGCACCCCAGCCAGTGCGTCTGGTGGCTCCCCC